GTTAGAAAATATTCATCAAAGAGGTTCATATTAACCGTCTCCAGATAGTTCAGAACGATTTGACTAGAGAATTGTGGTGTCTGAATTAGCTAATGTTTTTTCGTACTTGTTGATTGCTCGATTTCGAATTCTAAATACAATACATTCGTTTGTGCTCATCTAGTACCTCTTGATTCAATTGCGTTATTTCGGGGATTGTTAGTTTATACTAAAATTCAAATGGTTTCAAACATTAAAAGAGTGTATTCGAATTGTAGGCAAAGTTATTGTACCGCATGGTTTCTAAGTTGGTTAATTATTGGAGATGATACATTCCATGCCGAATTGAAACAGAGTTTGTTCACGATCAATGACCCAGATCCTTCAGCTAGTTATGCGCATGGTTAGACCAGTGTTGTTAACTTCAGTGCCATGTGCTGACAAGCCACCTATTTCGATAAGTTATCTGCCTCTACAACTGCGGTAAGCTGCATACTACTCAGCTGGGAGATTTAAAGAAAACATACGAAACACTAACATGTAAACTGTCATTGCGACAAAAGATGTGGCATTTTATCATGGTTATAAAATTCATTTCCGTTTTCTATCATTACAGTCTAACTTCAAAACTGTTGCCTAGCATCAACAGCTACTAAGTATTTCCTTTGTGGTTCGCACCAACGATGAATTTAAGTAGGTGTTACAGAACATTTCCAGATTCTTTTAGCTGAAACGTCCTTATTCTCTTTCATTTCAAGATGTATTAAAAATGTTCTAGGTCATTACTGGGCTGTCTCCAGGTCACCTGTTTTTAATCGTGCCCAGAAATCTGATTCTAATTTGACCGTATGATGATTTTAACGAAATATACAAACTCCGTGGCCTATACACAATTATCGATTAAGTTCACATTATTGAATAACCAAATAATTTAAGACAAACACAAAATTCGTTGTTGGATATATTTGTATTTGCACGTTCATCAGCGCAAACAGGTAATAAAAAGAAAGAGACGAACTGAATAAGGCAAGAGTGTCAATTCCAATTTAAAAGCGTAACAAGTGATGAACAAAACAGGTGATAAACGCACTTTCATAAAAACAGTTCAGAGATTACTGACAAGGCAAAAACAAGCGTGGATACTGATCCCAAAAAAATTAATTAAATTTTATTTTCAAAAACTAGAACAACCCCATATAGGCGTGACACAATACTCACTGCTTAAACTCGGCTGCAATTAAACGCAACTCAATTTCGTAAATGTGCCCTTCAGCTTAGCAACCAATCAGAATGAGGCGGGAATTATTACATCCGCCATCTTCGTAAGCAATGGCGGTCGGCTTTCTTCGTTCTGTGCTTCTTTCAGCTATTTCTTTTGTGTAGCTACGGAATTTGATGTTTCAGTGTGCTAAAATTCAAAAGTTAGTGTAATACTCTGAACGTTGGAGCAAAGGTTTTCCTGATTTTGCTTTGTTTTCTGGGTTTTACCTGCTGCTAATGAAGTCACTGTATTTATTCAGCTAAGCTGGCTAGTACTAACATAAGACCTTACGTTTTCAAACGACAATCGGTTATGTTTTACCTTGTTTTCTAGATATCCGAAGCCGAAGTTCGTTTTCATTTAGCTAAAATAATTGTTGCTGCAGCCTGTGACTCTAACTGTTAGCATGTTCGTTCCTAACTGTCCTTTATGATGTTATCGGCAAAATGAAAGGAAACAGTCTGCGTTTTTTAAATTTTCTTCAGTAGTATGGACAACACTATCCCACCAACGAGTCAAACTAATAAAGAGTGCCCAGCAGTAGGGTATATCGGTACTGATTTCGAAAGGACCCAGACTTCCGACAACTATAGATGAAGTCACAGATGCTACCAATCTGTTGCAGAGGGTTTGTTATGAAAAATATGCCATATAACAGTAATAGAGGGGTTGTACTCATTACTCAGTGCGTTAAAGCAAGCTTAACATTGAAAAGCCGGAAATCTGCTACTAGTGTATGTTTGCTGTTTTGGCCATAAAAGGTAGTCGAAGGGTCATGATCAGGGAGTAAAAAGGTAATTAACTGTTATTAAGCTCACTTTTTTATAGATCGTATTTCACCACTCGCAAATATGCGTTTTCTTACGGTATGATTTCAACTGGTACCTATTATGTTCACCCTCACGATGAAAAGTACCTGCAAATTTTCACCTCCATATTCGAATTATTTTTGGACAACTGTCTTACAGTCTGAGTGCTTCGTACGCCCCGAGAAACTATTTCTACAGCATTCGTAGTTCCAGTATAACTTTCTCACGCAGTAAGTTCAGATTAGACACTAGTCTTTCTAAATAAGGCTGTTAATCTAATATCCATATTCTCTATTTCAGTTAATCGATGAAGACATGTACCACGTGCATCTGCTGTATACTGCCATTTTACTCCAATTCTAACTGTTATATTTTACTTTTGAATAATAAAATTGCTATATGCTGCAAATACAGACTTATTTGTTTTGATGGAGGTAGGGGGGCTCATGGGATTTTCACTAAAGAGCTAAGCGAGTGCGTAAACCTGTATAAGGTACCATACGGGGTGCATTTGAGTTACTAGTGTTCCATAAGTGCGGGTAGGGGCATTGCTTGCTTGTCATATGGCATTTGAATTAGAAGCTACAAGATAAGACGCAGGTACGGTTAGAATGTGTAACGCGTGTCCATCCATCAGCTGGTGCGACAACCCATGGTGGTTAGAATAAGCTATGAGAGGACCCGAGTCTGTAGGTCTCCCAAGGAAATGACGAGGATATGCACCAAATCACTTAACCTCTACTCATTACAGTATAGACGTCTTTGAGGTGACCTAATGGCTTACAATAACCTTAACACTTCTGGACATCCCCTAAAACACCTAATTAAGCTTAGTTCCAACACTAACCTAAGGGGTAACACCCAGAAACTAGAGACACAACATAGCAGAACGGACTGTAGGCACAACTCCTCCTTAAGAGTTGTCAAATGCTGGGGTTCTCTGCCGGCCGAGCTAGTCCAAGCGACTTCGCAGGAGTCCTTCAAGAGGCAACTGGGTTTATTCTTAAGGACTAAGTATAGTATCATACTATGATTTACCAATTCCCTTTTCCTCTTTTATTGTTAACATACCTAGTTTTCTGCTTTGAGGTATTGGTGATCCCCTGCTATTAGACACGGAAGCCTGTTAAGCGAAAGCTTCTTCTATTCCGTCCACAACCATTTGAACACATGAACTAGGTGCTGAGAGGCTCGCTCATCACAAGTTTCTTGCAACGATTAAGTAGATAAAACAAAGTAGCATTAGATTCAGAAATTTATTCAAGAACTTTCATTAAGAATCGAATAGCAAACAAAGGTTTAGACCAAGTTCCCGTTTAAAAGTTGTATTGGTAATGTTAAGCTGCAGTTTTCGTTGTATTTTTCCAAACGAAAGAGTAAAAGAATTCAAAAGATACTGGAAGTGGTTGTGAGACTAAAATGGACGTCCAGCATCCTTTTATAATCTGCTGTTCGTTGGATCTCCCGTAAACAGTTCCATAGGGCCATAGTTCTAAGGGCGAAACAGTTTTTATGATATGTGAAGACTCACTCCTGTTGCATTCTAAATGAAAAAATGGTGATGAATTTAGTCAGAAATGTGGAATATATAAATAACCAAACCATATGTTTTTTAGCAAAGAATTTATGCAGTTGTGATTTACCTTGAGTTCATGAATATTAGATAAGGTCAGCTACTATTACTTGCGCAAAGCATAACATGGGCTTAGTACCGTATTACAATGCTTTTATTATTTTGCTCCCATTTAAGTATTCCCATGCATCTGCGTCTAGTTTAACAGGAAAACATACAAGCAGAGTAAGTGTATGGTAAACTAAAAGTCTCAGTTGTCCAAAAGATTTTTAACATTTGTCCACAGCCAGCTGAATTTAATTGAGACACAGAACACTCATCTTCTAGGACTGTATACTGCTGTTTTGCGGGCAACTAAAAGCTCAGACAATTAGCTATCTTGCTACCGATGTTATTGATGGGGAAATTGTTTAATGACAGTGATCATGAAATATGGTCAGTGATAGATGTACAGTTTAGAAATAAACACCAAACATACTTATCGCTATCTTATAATGCATGATAGCAACAGCATCAAAGGCACGTTTTTTCCTATTTTTAATCAGACTGATCTGAATCCGTATACACATTAGAAACAGGCAACTTTACTTACTAAACTGATCTGTTTCGTTACAGGCTTCAAGCACTATACATAAGTATATCATAATCCTTTCAACTAAACTGAATTATACGACAACCAAGAACACTAAACTAAGCAAGAGTCATAGTTATTGTTTCACTTGCAAAGACATGTTGCTCAAAGTACGTAAATGGACATAATTAGGCCGATAAAACCAAAACACGAAATATAGGCTAGTTGAACTTACCTAAGAAAATAAGAAGGATACATATATACTGCTTTAAAGGAGTATTCAGTATGAATTCATACTGAAGACAACAGGAAGTTGATCAGAGAAACACAGTTTACAAGACAACAAACCTTTCTTCAGTAAAATCATGCACTGACAGTCTATCTGGAAACAATTAACTATGTTAATAAAATCACTATGACTTGAGATATCATCTCAGCGTGCAATGGACGTACAGTGTAACGCAGTCAGACGTGGCGAATAAAAATTAAAAACAGAGAAAAATTAACCACATAATCTAGTTATTTAATTAAAAATACATTATGAAATGACAAAATATGTGGTTACTTGAACGCACAAATGACAGTGTGCGATACATTAAGTTTACATTGGTTGCGTTGCGGATAAGATCACCCCTTAAACTCTAAGAGGTTGTAAATTATATGTGTATTTCTTCTAAATTTCTATCATTTATTTAAACGAAATAACTCCTATAGACAGATGCTATTTCTTCTGAGTTCAGAATTTTTTCGTAGCTCATTTTTTCAGGGTTTATCTTTTTCAACATAACTTTGCTGACCTTGCTCATTAATGGCGCAATGTTGGAGAGTCTCTCTTTTGGTCTCAAGTAATGGGTGACGTCATCGAGGTAACTGGTTATCTTGTTCCTTTGTGCTTACCTTTTCTATAGATTTCTCTTTCTGACTCAACGGATGATTCTTCCGATGAGCAGGTATATTAACTTACTACAAAATCCGAATCCGTTTAGGATGAGTCAGAGAATGAATTTACTGGTCAATTTAAACTTGAAAAAGCCAAAGGAAATATTGAATGCAACAACGACTCATTCGATGAGGATACTGAGGTAGATCATATTTTCGTTGGCCGATTTCCGTTAGACATGTCCTATATGTTTTGAATTATGGACCTCATCAGGACCACACAAAGTCTGTTGTCTTCGCTGTGGACATCTTTTCGGCTATTCGTATGTCAAATCAATTCATTTTCATTTTTACTTTCTAGGTGCGTCATGAAATGGTTCAAGGCTGTTGGAAAGAAAGCTAAGTGCCCTCAGTGCAATGCGAAAGCTAATCGACGTGACGTTCGAGTACTTTACTGTAAAAACTTAAAGGTGAGTGAAAAATTTCCGATATATAGATAATGGTCTCAACAACCATATACTGACATATATAATAGTTCTTTAAGGGCTGGAAGATTTAGTTTTAGCACATTAACACCGTGTATACTTATATTTCTATGCGAGCTTCATCTCAAGTGAAATATAGACTTCACTTTGGATTTCATAGTTTTTTTAGACTCGGCCTTTATCCCTTAATATAACTCCGAGTCTACGGTCAATCAGCAGAAACCATAACTTTATACTTTGGGTAATTTCTGTCCCTTAAACACTGCTTAAGTGCCTCGAAATACCTGATTTATCGTAGGTTACCATTCTCCTTTGTCATCACGGTTAAGAATAAGAGGATTTCGCCTTCCAGATGAACATGGCTGTTATGTCTTTTGCTTTGTCAGTTATCACATGACAATTGTCAATTAAAACACCGCATTATGTGACTTCGGCACTGCGCCAAACCAATGATGTGTTAACCAGCACGAACAGTCAACTCAGAATCCTGATTGGTTCTTCTCGCCTAGCCCTGTCCTTCTGAGTCCAGAAAGCAATCTCAGCTTCCACTGTATGAATCATATATTTCAGACATACTCAGTTTATACAAACAAATCGGACGGCATCATACCGTAAAATAGAAAGTAACAATTGTACATGATCAAGTCAAAAGTGGTTGTATGAGAGACTGTAACTAGTAACCCGACCGTAGCTGCTACCTTGACGCGGTGGTCGGGCTTGCCTATCGTGATGACCCAACCGAGCTATATTGGCTGGAACATATGTTCCTGTAGGTTTTACCATGCCAGGTAGTTCGATTGGAGAACGGTAAGACTAAAAGCAGCAACTCAAGGTCTGAGGGCGAAGTCGTACTGCTGATTGTAGAGGGGTGTGACATCAGTAAGGTATTTCCCTCGGACAACCAGCATCTGCAGCGATGCTGCCTTCTCACAAGGAAGGACGGGGTTGAAAAAGGTCGACCCTAAAAATGTCACACCTCACGGATTTCTGTCTCCGGCGGTAAGGCCCTTTGAAGAACGGAGCTAACACATTAAAAACCTCCCACGAGAAGGCGGTGCGCTACCGGCCTCAAGCAGTTGTCCCTTGGGCTCTGCGGTTACACTCCCAGGTCGTTAAGGCCAACGTTAATCCAACTTCCTTTTCAGGTTCCTCAAGAAATACCCTTCCACGGTGTGAGCAGCCGTGAAGTGACATCAGCTCTCATACCCGTAACAGCACACGAGACCAAGTTGGTCACACACAAGTCCTTCCTGCACCTCCTAATACTTCTCTTATCTCCCCGACTAACCCTTCTCACGTCCTTTTTTCACCTCGCACCGCTAGGGCAAACGATTCGAGTACGCGGAACGCTATTCCTGGTCTCCTGAAACCACGCTCTAAACTACACGTAGGAGCTTTCAACATCCGAACACTGTGCCAAATAGGACAACGGGCTTCCTTAGCTAGGACTTTAGAATCTCGCGCCATCGATGTGTGCTGCGTCTCCGAAACGCGCATACAGGATCCGAGTAGCGTCATTCATTTGGCATCACCATGTCAAAATAAAGAACCAACTCGATTCACACTTCGTGTATCTGGAAGCCCTGATTTGCTTCTTGTGGCCTCGCCGGCGTAGGTATAGCATTGAGTCCTAGGGCAGAACTAGCTCTCTTAGACTGGATCCCAGTAGACGGTCGTTTGTGCGCTGTCCAACTAGACAGGACAGTAAGGGTTTGGAAAGATAGGGACACTCGTCGTTGCCTCTTCGTCGTCTCTGCCTATTCTCCCACTGACTGCAGCTCAGATGATGTAAAAGACGAGTTTTACATAAAGCTTTCCGACCTTCTCCGAAAACCTAGGCGCTCTGATGTAGTAATAGTGGCTGGTTACTTTAATGCTCAAGTAGGTAAACTAAGCGAAACGGAAAGACACCTGAGTGGATCCTATAGCGCCGTGGCTCAAAGAACAGATAATGGCGACTGTCTGTTGCAACTATGCTCAGATAACCGCCTCTTTCTTGCAAATACGAACTTTAAGCATAAGGAGAACATCTTTTAACATGGCGACCCCGCAATTCGTCCCAACGTTGGACCCAAATGGATCACATCGCTATCAGCCACCGATGGAGGGGCTCGATAGAAAACTCGCTCATTCTGGAGCACATGCTTAGACTCAGATCATGCTCTAGTGCGAGCGTGTATTTGCCTGCGTCTTACTGGACGTAGGAAAGACGCTGCAAGGAAACCTCTTAGGGTCTTGCTTAATGATAGTCAATCTAAGAGTATATTTCAGGAACAACTAGGGAAACAGTTAGGCAGCCATGTATGTGATGCCCACCCCGAGGCAGCATGGAATGATATCCGAAATTCTGTGAAAACAGCAGTGACATCTTCTAGTACGGTAAACCACAAGGTTAGGGAGTAACACTGGATCTCAGCAGCATCTATCGCACTGATATATGCTCGGAAACTCATTCCACCTGGCTCTGAACATAATGAAGAGCGGAGTCAGCTTAAGCGCAAGTTGACAAAAAGCCTACGCAATGATCGTGAACAGTGGTGGGTAGCGAAGGCAAGAGAGATGGAAAAGGCAGCGGCAATAGGTAATAGCAGACAGTTGTTCAGACTTGTTAAGGAAACCGACTGTTAGCGAAACTATCTCAGAAAAAGATGGACATACTACTCATTCTCAATCCAGGAGATTGGATCGATGGGCAAAACACTTTAGGGATCACTTCATTTGGCCTTCAGCCACACTTCGGTTTCCCACGATCTCCAGTCAACCTGAATGGCAAGTTAATGTAGGTCCTTCGTCTCTTTACGAAGTTGAAAAGCTATAGGAAATCTGAAGCGAGGGAGAGCAGCAGGCTCTGACAAGTTTACTCCTGAGATCTTTAAGGATGGTGGTCCAGTATTAGCAGTGAGATTAACTGAGGTCTTAAGTAGAATTTGGGAACTGGACGTAATCCCATCTGACTGGTCTCAATCACTGATTGTGCCAGTCTGTAAGAAAGGACAAAAGCGCTCTTGTGATAATCACAGAGGAATCAGTTTGACTAATATAGTTTCTAAAATATTAGCTTCAATAATACTTCAACGCCTAACCAAAGCTCGTGAAGAACAGACCAAAGAAAATCAGGCTGGTTTTCGACCTGGACGTGGTTGTATAGATCAGATATTCACACTACGTCAGGTTCTAGAACACAGACACACATTCAGACGCCCCACAATCGTAGTATTTCTCGACCTTAAGGCGGCATTTGACTCTGTTGATCGTGAGGTTCTATGGCAGTGTTTGTCACTGAAAGGAGTACCAAAGAAGTACATTAACCTTATACAGATCCTCTACTCGAACACAACTGATCGAGTGAGAGCTTATGGCGAACTGTCATCAGAATTGATTACCTCAAGTGGTGTTCGTCAGGGCTGTTCACTCTCTCCATTCTTGTTCAACTTTGTCGTCGACGTACTTTTAGAGATAACACTTTCCTCGTCTAAATTTCCAGGAGTTAAACTTCTACCGGGAGGTTCACTTGTTGACTTAGAATATGATGATGACATAGTTTTATTTGGTGAAGACGCTGACAAAATGCAGAGTCTTCTGACCACTCTAAGCAACAATGCAAGCATGTTCGGGATTCGATTCTCCCCAAAGAAATGCGAAATGTTGATTCAGGATTGGGCTGCATTGACACCCGAACTAATGATAGGGAGTGAAGTAATTGAGCGTGTCGATCGCTTCACTTATCTTGGAAGTCTCATCAGCCCTTGTGGTCTGGTGTGTGACGAAGTCTCAGCACGGATACAGAAGGCTCGACTAGGTTTTACCATCTTGCGTCATTTATGGCGTAGGCAAGATATCCGTCTACCAACCAAAGGACGTGTTTACTGCGCAGCAGTTCGTTCCGTCCTACTTTATGGCAGTGAAATATGGCCGGTAAGAGTAGAGGATATCCGTAGGTTACTAGTATTTGATCATAGGTGTCTTCGAAATATTCCTCGTATATCCTGGGACCATCGAGTAAGTAATGCAGTTGTTAGGAAACGGGTACTAGGTAAGGATGGCAAATCAACTGATGACGTAGTGAAACTTCATCAGTTGAGATGGCTGGGACATGTGCTACGTATGCCCAACCACCGACTGCCTCGACGTGCGATGTTCAGTGGTATAAGAGTAGATTGGAAGAAAGCTAGGGGCGGCCAGACCAAAACATGACACAAGTCCATGAAGTCACTGACAAGTGGACTGAGTCATGTTGGTAGGTGTAGACTACCTGGTTGGGGACCGCGAGATGATAGCAACCGATGGTTAGAGACCCTGAATGACATGGCTCAAAATCGTTTGCAATGGCGCAGGTGCATACACCCTTTGCGTTCTCCCAAATTCTAATCTTCTGAATTCTTCATGTCCCTTTCTATTTTATCTTTCCAAATTTATTTCGCTGGATTATACTCCTTGAATAACATCTTCAAACCCTAATTTTTCTGATTATAGCTTATAATTTTACTACATCTAGCACTACGGGACTTGAATCAACCACTGCATCTCTGTGCTAATGTGGTGTGGCAACTCGAACTGATGTACGTACGTACTAAGTTCTACGTTGTTACTGACTGACTGTTACTAGTAATTTCGGAATGTTTATGAATAGTAAATCGTATAATAGTAGTCAATAGGTCAAATGGAAGCTTATAATAAAAATAATGTGAATATACATATAATATAACTATTATTCATTAGGGATATATGTGATAATAGTCCATAAATAATTCCTAGCAGTTACCATTTATTTGTTCTTCATTAAGATATAACAACATTCCTGTGGATTCTGATTGACTGAGTTAATGGCAGCTGATATTTACGTCGACTAAACTTTCTTAATAATCGCCGTAATTAGTATTGCTCTTTAAAACTAGCTCAGCTTTATTCCCTACATTTTATGATCTAACTTTTCCTACACTCCCCTTAATAAGTGTATCTATAGGCAAAATAACATAAAGCTTGTTTGTTACTTTGTGTATCTATCGGTTAACATTTCATGGTACATCTAACCTAACTATTGTCTTATTAATTAACAGTGTTAATTCACTTAATTGATATTGTATATTGTTCGCGTTCTAAGTAATCGTGAATACTTTAAATACTTTTGAATATCTAAAAGTAACAGAAATTTCTGGAGCTCACGACATTGCCTACTTACTCCTAGGCATTTTACGTATAGGCATTCACAGTTCTGAAAATTCATGTTCCATATCTATTCATTGTGTTGTAATAACCATATAAATTGAGAAACGTTTAGGTTTTGGATACAACTGACCGAGACAGAGCCTTGGCTGAACTTGAGCGTGAAAAGCGAGGGCGACAGAAAGCAGAACAGGAAGCTGCGGAATTTAAAGCAAGATGCGATCTTCTCCATGCAGAGGTACTTCAACTTCGCGATGAGCTTCAGACTACCACGGGACATCACAAGGTTCAGTCATCTCGTTTGCAAAATACTAGTGAAGTTCCAAATCATAAAGCGTCAAGGTAAGTCAATTCTATTCGTACTTCTTGAATTATCGAACCTATTACCTTAATTTGACCATTTTCTTCTAGTGTATTTTTTAAGCTCAGATAATCTTGTCGATTAATCGTCTCGATAAGACAGTAATTTATGGACGACCTTTGAGCGACACTACGTTGATCTTGAATGTCCACGTACTTACTAGGTAATAAATTAGCTTGAGGAATCAGGATTAAGATTTACATGTGGATGTTAGGGTTAGGGATTAGATTTGGGGTTTTTATCACGAACTGACACTAGCAATGATGTCAAAATGCTAGTTAGCCAAATGGATGGATGAATTTCGCGCTAGAACCCAAGATCGGTTATCTTAAATCTGATTGGTTTGCCCATAAATTATTGTCTCGCCATTGTCTCTAACTGCCCATAGTTCATATTTTGAGCACAATGTTCTGCCACATGCTCCTGTGAATTGTAGTTCTAGATTGTCTCGTCACTGCATTTGCTTTGTTTATCCCCTCAATTTTAGCAGATATATTACTTGTGCTTGATTAATCGTAGTTTTACCATTTTTACTTCGTTTGGTTTTTATCTTTGTATTTCCTCCATATAAAAGATAAAATGTATTCATTCACGTAATCTTTTAAAAATGCCTTATTACTGAAAGTTGTGAAATGTAAAGAAAGTCAGTGTAAATTATTTCTATACCTAACATACAAGAAACTGATTGGGTATTACCCTGCCAACTATGAACAATGTAGCACCTAACAAAAATATGTATTGGCCCAATTCGTCACATTTCATAGCGACACACTTGAAGTGAATTAACGCAGTGTTAACTAATGGAGTTCAAATGTTAATAAAAGTATAAAAAGATTAAACACACGGAATCTAGTTAGGAAATAAAAGGTACGAATGTAGTAGTAAAACTCAATATTGAAGCAGAGTAACAAAATAAATGTATCACAAAATTGTAACTAAATTTCAATGACTTCATTGACCAGTTTCATATATTTATCTAACCTCCACTAGCTCTTTTTGTTAATTAGCTTTACATAAGTGTATCCTAATTTTCTTAAAATGTAATAAAGCAATTCTATATCTCTTCCCATAATATCTTTTAGCTCAGATGGTTCAACTGGTTTTGACGGTCAATATACATTAGTGAACACTTTACTGATCTCAGTCGTAAGTTATTTCGATATTTAACGTTGTTTTTCATCTAGTTTCAATTCATTCCGCTGTAATAATATACCTATACTAATCTAAACAACTGTTGAATGACGTCATAATTTTTAAACTTGTTAGCATTTGTTCGTTATTTTAAAAACAAATGTGTATAAAAGTTGGTCAGGGAAAATTCTAACTTTTTTAGTTTATATGTTGTCTGAACATCTATATTGTAGTGGCGTAAATACCTCAAGTCGAATTATCCTTTGTTATTACCAATGTGAGAACGTACCTAATAGCGTTACTGTATGAATATCTTGATATTTTGTTATGGTCGCAACATCCAAACATGTGGTCCTGATGCGAACATTTAAAGATTACTGGATGTCCAGGGCGCTTAAAATGGATGCCTTTTGCTATGTTAGATTGTGTAACTTTTAGAGAATGTTTACTTCTATTCAATCTCTTACATGTAAAATTCCATATAATTACTGATTATTTCTGCATTTTTTTCCACTTCAGGTTTCGAGAATTCTTTTGAGTTATTCTAGTTTTCGTAGTTTTTACCTAACCATTCGTGTCATATAGTTAGTGTTATTATTTACATCATGAATTCTGATTACTTAACTAAATATATTTATTTTGCCAATTACTGCTTCCTGTTTATTTATGCCAGCATATATTTAAGTTATCGTTTTCACCACCAAGAATCTTAGCTTTTCCGTACTGAATGATCAACCGTATGAGTGGTCGTTAAGTTTTGTTTGGTAAAAAATCATCTAATTCCCTTGTTTAAAGAATCTGCTACTTTTTGATTCTCAGTGGTCGTCTAACTAATATCAAACCGTGATGTTAACTTTCTCCAAAATGGTTAGTTAAAGAAGCTTGCGTAGTAGTTATTCTTAAAACAATTAATTGTTCATGCAAGTGGTTATTATTTGGAAATTTTGGTTCTAGGGTGTTCTTTTGACTGATGAGTATCATCGTTATAGTTTTACAAAAGTAATTTCCTATTTATAGATATTTTTATATCTTTAATACTAGATACGTATCTTTTTGTTCATTTTGACCCATAACATTCTGAATGCAGTCTTCTAGTTCTTACATTTTATTTACCCTGATTTACCAATAATTTTCTGTTCATAAATCGTTGTTTCTGTCATTTCAGGGCGGAAATTGTCGTGTTATGGCATCGTGTGACTACTTAAATACCTTGTGTGTTTCACAGTCTTCAACTAACCCAATATTTCGAGGATTCGGAATACGTAAGGTTAGTGTAGTTAGGTGCATGGTAATCACTTCAGATTATTCAGTTTGTTGTATTTCGTACATTACCTAACTTCAGTTGATCACTCAATTTATCGGGGACAGTTAACAAATTGAGTACTCTTACTACATTTATATAGCCGAGTTTGAAGCAAATAATCTTGTGTTCATACTCCACTTAAAATTCACTAATATTCACTAGAGCGTTGACAGATACAATTGGTATATCCAAAATAAGACTTGATAGATGTCTCAAATCCCACTGCCAACATAATTTAATCATCATAAAAATGCAATTAATAATAGATATTGGTACAATTAACAGTAGAGTCTAAGACATACTGTTGATTCACTTTTTGCAAATAATTAGTACACAGCTCAATTGGTCATTGGGTAGGTTGAGATCCCAAAACTCAGTTTAATTTGACAATAAGGACACAAATATTAGTAAGAAGCGACTACTAGTCATAAGTTTCGGCTAAAAAATAGGTTAACATATACAACTAATGACTCAATACACTGCCTTCTCTAAAACAATTTTCTCTCATTAAGTTTATTTCCCCAAGTGAAACTAACACAATAAATTCATTTTGTATTGGTTGTTTGGATCTGCTTATTGACGTTTAGGAATGTGATTGATCAACCTCTTGTTGGCATATGTGCATCCTATGCGGATTACCTCTATATTTCCTTAAGTCACAGGCATTATAAGCAGAGATGGATGGTGTCTAACAATGGAATTCAAGACGTGTTTCATCCTGGCTTCCACTACTAGCCAACACCCGTCTCTGTTTATCATTCATTGAATGTCTATTTCTATTACTATTATATATTTATTCTATTTTAAATGCAAATCGCTTTAAATGTATTTTTTCATCAGGTGAATAGTTCTGAACAAAGATTAATAAAATATGTACACTTGCATACACAACCGATTCGTGACTTGGCATTTCATCCAGAAGCTCATGATGGTATTATTGCAAGTGCAAGCTTAGATAAAACTTTACGTCTTACTAGTTTATTAAATGATTCGGTGAGTTTAATTTCTTTGTGCTGTTATTTTTGTATTACCGGTTGTGCTTAATCTAATCACGGGTTAAATGTGTAACGTAAATTATTGTTTACTGATCATATATTCATGGTAAATTTTGACTAAAAAGACTTACCATAAGAAATATTTCAATTTCTTTACAAGTGTCAGAGTAGTAAAGTAAAATGCTTCCCATAATTAAATTGTTCAGATTAAACAGTGTTAGACTTGTACTGCTTGAATATCCGGGCTACCTGTTTCTGCCATCTAATTATTTCAACAAGTTATCTGTTTTTTTCATTTTGTTTTAACTTCTCATTATGTCCATTAATCGCATAACCTATTCAGGCGCTTTTATGAAAAGCCTACGACCTTTCGCTGCACAAGTTACAAAAAAGTACTGTAAAAAACATCGTGGTGGTTGGCAGTATGCGTTAAAGAGAATGAACATTAATCGTATGTCGATTCCCGAGCTGCTAAATTCTCACTGCCGATCACTAATCAACAAAGTGGACTATCTGCAATTCCTATTAAGTCAAAATATGTATCGTAATTGTGGTGTCATCACAATTCAAGAATCTTGGTTAAATGATTTACAGGATGACTGTCTAGTATCACTACGTGATTTCAAAATTTATCGTCAGGGTCGATCAAACAATAAAAAGAGGTGTGGCGGCGGTGTGGCTACATTTGCAAACGTGAACTGGTGTCGATCTTCGTTTGTGTGTTTCAAGTTTTCGAATGACTTTATCGACTGTCTAACTCTAAGATGTTGTCCAAAACATATGAATAAATACAAATTTGTTTATGTTACCAATATCTACGTGAGTCCAGACTGCACATCATCTGCGCTATCTGTTTTCGCTGATGAATTCACTGAGTTCGCTGTTACTGCCTTCAGTGATTCACTTTCAGTTGTATGTGGTGATTTCAATTCATGTGACTGTAGGTTCCTTACGTCACTAGGTCACTAAAATGTAGTAGATTTTCCTACTCGTTTGGATGTTCATTTAGACTTCGTTTTCATTATTGATGTGGGTATATATGTGACTCGTAAACGTGCTCCATTGTCTAACTCGGATCACTGTACAGTTCGTGTTCTACCTAAAGTATATGGAAAGCATGGCAAGAGTAAACTCTTACATCAAACCAAGAAAGTCAAATATAGGAATTATTCAGAAGAAAATATCCGAAATCTGAAAAAAAACATGTTTCATACGACTAACTGAGAATTATTTACAGATGACTCACTGGAAATCACTTCTCATGTTATCACTTGTTACCTTAAATTCTGTTTTGATATTTGTTGTCCCAGTGGAACCATTTTTGTAAGTTTTGATCGACTTACATGTTCACAACTAAAACGACTACAGAGGGTGAAAGAAAGAATGTACAAGGAGAAAAACTCTAATGAAGTTCTTAAGCTGAATGGTCTGATAAACCTAGAGATTAGACGTTTCAACTCTATGTTTACTCAAAAACTCTTGTCTTGCAAAAGCTCTCCAAGTATGTGGAAACTCTTTAAAGAACTTACAGGTGACAGACAGATTAGGAGCGATAACCGGCTGAATGTTTGTTACATGAATGTGTCTTTTGTACGTCAGTTATGTGATGTAATGCTCCCTTCATCCATAGGTTTAAATAATAGCTGTAATCCTAGTTTCACTGAAACTGATGTTCGAAGATGTCCCCAGTCACTTAATTCATCTTGATGTTTGGGACCTGATGGTATCTCAAACATCCTTTTCAACAAGTGTGCTGACGTCCTATGTTATCCGTTCACAACCATCTTTAACAGATCCTTCTCATCTAATCTCATTCTGAAAATGTGGAAAAAGATGGAGATAATCTCTGTACCCAAGAAAGTATCTGCTGATAAGAATGTGAAATTTAGACCTATTGCAATAACTTCACCCTTCCTCAAAACAATGGAAAAAATATTAATGCTTCCATTTCAGCCTGCGATAAAAGAGCATATTGATCCGTATCAGTTTGCTTACAGATGCAAAAGAAGCACCTTAGATGCTGTTGCTGTTCTGCATCACAATATAATGTTCAGCTTGGAAAAGGGTAAGAAGTATGTTCGATGTGCTTTTCTGGACTATACTTCAGTTTTTGATTCTATACCAGGACAGCGTTCTAATAACCAGTTAATCAGCGTCAACACTGACAGCTGAATAACCAACTGGTTATGTTCGTACCTTTCTGGAAGGGAACAGTACACTGGATTTGGAGGAAAGTGTTCAGAGTCTATACTGTCTGATGAAGGTGTACCACAAGGAGCTGTTCTTTCACCTCTTCTTTTCTCTTTTTTTCTGCATGATCTGCCATCTTCCACAGAAAACACCTTTGTGAAATATGCTGATGATCTCACTGTATGTATGCGTATTTCTTCCTCTTTACATCCCATAGAAATGAATGAGTTTTTGTCTCGTCAGTCAGTAACAACGTAGAATTCGTACGTACGTACATCAGTTCGATTTGCCACACTACATTAGTACAGAGATGCAGTTGTCGATTCAAATTCCGTAGTGGTAGAGGTAATAAGAGTATAAGCAGTAATCGGGAAGATTAGTGTTTGGAGATGTTACTTAAAGAGTATAATACAGTGAAATAAATTTGGAAAGATAAAAAAGAGACAAGAAGATCAAAATTTGGGAGAACACAAAGAGTGTATGCACCTGCGTCATTGCAAACGATTTTGAGCCATGTCATTCAGGGTCTCTAACCATCGGTTGCTATCATCTCGAGTAGAGAATCTGTATAAGGTTAATGTACTTCTTTGGTACTCCTTTCAGTGACAAACACTGCCATAGAACCTCACGATCAACAGAGTCGAATGCCGCCTTTTGTCTCGTATTGATTGTTGGTCTGTTAGTAATGGTCGTATACTTAATCCGTCTAAATGTCAAGCTGTTAACTCTAGCATGAGACATGAACGGAATCTAAACATCATTTTGAGATCCCATAATGCTTGTTCCGTTGGAGACTCTTTGATAAGCACAGTCTCGAAGGTCAATTATCTTGGTGTCACCTTTTCCTCTGATCGCTCTTGGTCTTCCCACGTTTTATTGTTATCGAAGGTTTTCCGTCATTTACTCTTACAATCTGTCAATTCTTGCATATTATCTATTATTCTTTACTGTTCTCCATTATTCTTTCTCGTGCTTTTGAGAAAAGACTTTGCTGTATTGCGGAAAGTGCTGAAGGCAGTTAGCAAGGTGTGTGGTGAATCTTTCGAGGTCATAATTAATATGGTTGTGGGTAGACATCTAAAGTCATGCAAACTCCTGGCAGGTGTTATTTTATCAGATACTAACCATCCCCTTCACTCTTATCTTTCTCCTTGTATGTCTTCTGGTAGAATGAGACGTAATTACATTAAAATCTATGCACGCAAGCAAAAGTATAGAAGTTCTATAATACCTTACCCAGGAAATATACTCTGTGACGAACAAGTTGTTAGAGTTAACCTGCATTCTTAACGTGTCTCTAATTTTAAAAGTTGTACAGTTTTTTCGGGTTTTTATTCAAACCTTTTTTTCCTTTTTTTGTATTTGCCACTGTTTTTTTGCGTAAGTAACTTGTTAAAATACCCTGTGCCGAGAATTCTATATTGTACCAAAATATAATATTGAATAAAGCAATTAATAATAATAATAATAATAATAATAATAATAATAATAATAATAATATATTTTCGCTCATGATACAGATAATTATCGATCCACTTTCTGGATAAGATATCAAGCTGATAGCTGAATGGGTACTGCTGATGATAGGTTTTGAGTACTATGTAAAATATGTAAATAAGCCATTTGGTCCCATTGATCAACGTGATCGTTTCATGCACAAATTTAACCTCGTTGAGCTATACTCTCTGGGGTTAAAATCCGTTAAAAAAGGACAGCTTAGTTACAGCAGTACCGTATATTGGCCCACTCTTGCTCTGAGTCATTTCGGACAATCCTAACTCGTTGATTAGTATCCTCCAGACAAACTTATCTGTCCTGAGAGACTTCATAATGTATAGCAAAATTGATTTAACCGATAAAGATACATCCATAGGGTCATTGGCCACTAAAATCTCGGTTCATGCTAACTTCCCTGTTGTGATCTACGAGACAGTCGTAATCAGTTATTGGAGGCCTCAGGCACCATGTCCCAAAAGTTCTTCCAGTGTTGTCCGGGTTCTAATATTGTTTCATCGTTTTTATTCTTACATCTTTCATTACTTCTATTAGCATAAATAAGTATGGCATAATTTTGTAGCAGATTGTAAGAAATCGGCTTGTAGATCACTTACTGCCCAATCAATTAAGACTTGATCGTTAGGCCCAGTTCTTGGGCGTCGTATCAAATACAATACTTAAGAAGAAACTAGCAAGTGAAAACACTTGACTATCTAGCAGAAATTGTACCATATTGTTTCAGAAAGAATGGAAAAGTCACTCATTCTCATAGTTTCTTGTAATACTATGTAGTGTAGAAACAAAATTTGACCACTCAGTTCCAAACAAACACGTCAACAATATTCGTTAATTAGTATTGTAGAATACTTGAAGAAAGTAACTAAATTACGCTGACGAGAATTAGAAACTATGCCTTAACTGACTATTGATTTAAAACTTTTCTGAGATACTATCGTTTACTTCCGAGTAAAATAAACATTCAAATTAAAAGTGGAAAGAAATAGTAAACTGGCTGGAAGTAAAATGGTATGTAAGATAAATTAAGCTGGTCAATAAGGCGCCTATCAGTAATTCGGTAATTGCCAGGGTAAGACCTATCACAAATGTCCATCTGTCCGGATATCACTCATATTATCAAAACTAGAGAGTAAATTGATACAGTAAGTAGCAGAGAAGAAAAAAATCTAGTCAATCACATCGGAAATCTAAGCACAAGAAATGCAATGCAAATGAGGTCGAACATTGACAAGTTAGAAATGATACTTTGTCCAAGATCTAAACGAATATGGAAAATAAATACAACACTACTGTTTCACGTTTATCTAGTCCTTAGTACTAATCGAATTCTATAGGTTCTCGTAATGAGTCATCGCACCTGGACCTTTGATTATAGTATTTAATATTTATGACAGGGAAACAACGTTAAAACTTGCCTTTTCATTGTAACAGAGGTTCACTTAGGTTCATATGCCATTAATTTCTTCAGGAACCCGAAAGATCAATGATCACCATTGATACACGATAAAAATTTCCTAAATGAAAGCGGGTGTAAATACACGTTCGTATGCAAGCATTTCGAAAGGTAGAGTGAACCTCCCCCCTCGCGCCCTCATCTCCAGTCGTACTTGGGAGCTTAACGTTTCCTAAATTATTCATCTAAAATTTCCAAAGAATCTTAGAAAATAATACAAACTCTGATCATATTATTTTGTGTGAGGACGGATCACGGGTTAACTCGAGGAAGCTGTAAGAGGCTCAAAAGGAGCCGGAGATATTCCATCCAATCACCTTTTGCAAGAATATTCTAGAATTCTTACATGTAGCTTCCCGACTGGAAAATGCTAATAACCCTCTGTATACGGATTAGAGGACTGTAATGATGATTTCGTTCTTACTAAAAACTATAAATACCTGACAATTTTGTACTATGATTGACACTGTCTGGAATAACATTCCTTTCACTAGTCTTCTGTCTTCTCATTGCAACTTGGAAGGGTTCTGGAGTTCTAGTGCTCAAGTTATACGCGGTATATCAAGAAAACAACCATCTAGATATAACATTTTGATTCTGTATAAACTAGCCACTTGTTACAACGTGAAGATAGTATTGTAATAATCGTGTTCACATATTCATCTAGCTAAGTATCACAATTTACAGTGTTTCAACTTTTTCAAACCTACGGATAGACAACATTTCCTTTTCACTAACTTCAGATTGTTCAAACTTACCATTGTCCAGTGGGAATATGGAGTTGTTGTTGGGCTGGAGATTCGAATCGTTTATTCGCTGGCTGTGCAAATGGTTCAATAATGTTATATGATATACGTGTGACTACCGGTCCAATAGATGTTTTCTATGTACCAAATAACGATGCACCGGTTTTGGGATTGCAGTATTTATCGCCTACCGTGGATCAAAATATTTCCAGCTCTGGAGGTTTATTGGTTGGCCAGTTGAATAAAGTAAGTAATGTAAATGTATTCAAAGTATTGCATGAAAAAGCTTTCTGTAAAACAATTGTTAGATATTAACTTTCTTCATAGGAATGTTATCAAGCAAACAAGTTTAAATCGATACTCTTAATTTAGTGGTCAAGTTGAATTATAATTTGAGTCGGATCGGAGATATTAAATAATCTAGAAATCTAGAGTTATACTATCACTAAGATTAGTGATTTTTTTACAAATCTGAGATGTACAAGCCGGTTAATTTACATGGAATTTATTTTCAAATCCCAGGTGAATTTATGTACCAAACCCACGAAAATCCCTGTAAATTAACCGAATTCTTCTAAATGAAATGATATCCAGAAAATGCTGGTAAAATAGCACAACTATCTCAGATCCCCAGTTTCATTCTGGTTCTCTCAGTAATTTCGTTTAAGTATAACCAAAATAAAGTTCTTGACTTTACCAATCTTTTACTGATAAGTTTTCATTTAAATATCCAATATCTCTAGTTACATAAAAGATACATTGGATATTATGCCAAAGATATGTACTCTCTATACCTATTACACCTGATCTTTAGTGTGTATCTCGATAGAGTTGTATACAAATAGAAAAATACCTTACTTCATTATGGCTGTGTTCCGTATTAATCGTGTAATACTCTAAATAAAGTATATCTTTACTTGAACTAAGTATAATTACCATTTTAAGAAAATCATGCAAAGTAGACATCTTGCCGAAATTTTGGCTCATAGTCATTTGAATTGACACTTAATAGTCATAAAAAAGGCAGATAACAGTATTAAAGTCGAATTCTTTAATATCAGATGGGTTTTGTGGATATTATAGTAATTTCATTGGTTAAGATCATGAATCAGTTGAAGCTAGACCACAATGGAAAACCCGTCCAGTGCTTCCAGGTTTTCGATGGTGGTCTAGCTTCAACTGACTCATAATCAAATTCTTTACTTGTCAAATACAACTTTAATCATTTGTTCTGAGTACTGAATTAGTTCCCTTACTTTTTTAGAAAAAGGTGTGAAGTTAATCGCTTATTTAGTTGTTATGGTATATTTTTTTCCATACTTATCAACATCACATTGTCAATAAATTTTATCCAGTTATAAAGTATAGATTAAAATGCTAATTTTCTTTCCATCTTAAACATATAAAACTATTTAGATGATATCGGCTAATCACCTTTGTTTCTCCGGTATATTTACTAATTATCGAATATTGCATACAGCAAGACAATCCCCACCTCATTCCATGAAATGTTACTTTCTTTTAATGACAATACTTTTAGTGTAATTTTTGACAGATAAAGTGATGGGTTATGAGCCCGTTTTATATTATAAATTGGCCGATCGAATGCTCTTCTTTAGAGAATTCGTAAATATATCCACTGTTAGCTATCCAAAGAACTGAATTGTTGAAAAAACATCCCTATTGAACTGCAATCAACTGACTCTCAAACATAATGTTTTGTTTTGATAAAAATGAGACATAAATGTGCAAAATATGAGTGTGTTTAATCGCCATTCAATGCATAACCGATTATACAATGCCGTATTTTTAAACGTCTGCTCTGCTTATCAGTTAGCGCTTCTGTTTTTCTAGCGATTACAGCATTCGATTACCAACCACATTTATTCCATAACGCCCACAGTTTTAGTTTTTATATTAGTCACATATCTTGTGCAAATGGTGATTAATAGTATTCGACTACTTAGTTATCAATAAGTAGATTAGGTCTAAATAGCAAAATTACCTTCGAAAGTCAGATTTTTCTATCATTGGATGTAATCCATTATAATAAAAATACTAGTTTCTTTTATTTTTATGAATGATCTATCAACACCTAGTGTTTAATCTTACCACTTCATCAATCATTTCAATAAGTAAATTAATTGATGGGTTTTATGTAAAATTCATATGCACTACTTTAAGTCACCTGTTGAATTTGTATGTCTTAGTACAATACCTTGTCTTACGATTAGTTACTTTATAGAATTGTCATTTTACTAGCTAAAATTAGTTCTCCACGAATTTCTACAATCTTCTATTATTGATTTCATTGTTTTCATATTTGGTTTTGTTCATAGGTCACATTTATGTCTGAGAGTTCTGTAAATCCTATAGCTTTACAACAAACAACTAACCAAGAACGAATAGAATCTGCCGATGACATTGCTTCGATTGATAATTCAGAAAATCCTGCTTCACCTGATGTTCTTCAAGATAATAGCACGTCTCGTTCATCGAATTGGCTAGGAAATGTACCTTCTTATAAACCCCATAATCTCCCTCTAGAAGGCAGTTTGGTTTCATTAAGTGCACTTCCACAAGGACGTCAGTTTTTAGCTTCCTACAGACCATCCCAACGACTACCTCGTGTAAGACATTTGTTGGCGGAATTACAATCTGAAACTTCACCTATAGCAGAAACGGCGTACTCCTGTAGAGAAATACACAACTTTTGGGCAGGAAATCGAATGAAAAAGCTGACTCGTGCTAAACTATTTGTTGGACCTTCAAAAGAATCAGGTTTGTAACTAAGCTATATTTAGGTAGAAATTCGTTCCGTTTATTACATGTTAAGCCATTCTGAAACTGATACTTAGTGTTATGTCTTAACAGGAATGGCTAGCGTATTGGGACTTTCTGTTACGTCATGTTAAATGCTATTTACGAACGATCGGGGTTTCTTCTAATACGGCCCTAAGAACGGGAACGTAAATAGACCAGATGTTTTCTGCACAAAAACGCTTTAATTTTAAGCATCTATTCAATAAAAGAGAAAACGGTACCTATTGAAAAACTTTATATTCCTTACAGAAGTCAAAAATTAAAAAGAAAAAGCTTTGTTTTTACGGTAACATCCAGTAACCTATAGACACAGATCCAAGTTAGTCAGCCAAGAGCGATAATAACTAATCAGATAATAGCAAATGTCATTGCGGAAATATGAATTGAAGAATCATTATCAAGGTTATCGTTTAAAGAAAGAACTAGCATTTAATAATAAATAACTAAACAACCTGATCTCTTATTAGCATAGCCATCTAGTTTGCTAGTATCGTTAGTGCAGTCTGTTGAACTTAATTTAGTACATATTCATTAATGTCTTAAGTTATCTGTCTATTTGAGTTTCTGTTTTACATACGAATAAATGCAGTTTAGCGGTAAATATATTGTTGTAACCCTTATAACTCCACTCTTCATGATCACTAGTTATATGATTCACCTAAGTATCAGATCTCTTCTGTTATAAAAGACAGCCTGTTAAATTAAAGTAATTGCATTTTAGATTTAAATTGTGCAAAAACTTATTGGTTGCATTTGAGGTCACAGTTGTTTTCAAATAGTTTTGATCACTCCATGTTACATTCCGAAGTTTTTTACTACTTACAGAAAATCAGAAAGCCCTATATCTGTTCTTGTTATATTTTAATGCTCCAAATAATTTGTCGTAAAATTTCTTTTCATCCACCTTATGGACGTCAATAAATAATTGGTTAGCTACACATTAGTTCATGCAAACAAGAGAAGGAAGAATTATAACGCCTCATGATGAAAGCCGAAATTCTTCGAGAGTCACAATGCCGATGCCCCTTCTAACAACAAGAGCAACAATTTTTATAGGTACATGGAACGTCCGGACGATGTAGGAGATCAGGAGGACCAGTCAAATAGCAACGGAAATAAGGAGATACAAATTGGTAATACTCGGAAGAGAGATGCTGCTGTACTCTGGTCACGAGGAGTAAAATGCCACCACACACTCAGGGAGTTGCTCTGATGCTGTTTAAAGCACATAATGCACTGATAGGATGGGAATCTCACAGATACGGGATCATCAACGCATACTTCAAAACAAATAATAATGAACGTTATACAGTGTTATGCACCCAACAATCATAGCAACGACGATAATAAAGATCAGTTCTATGAGAGGGTGCAATCAATCATAGCGATGTGCCCAAGAAAGGACCTCACCATCCTTATGGGAGACCTAAACGCCGAAGTCGGAATAGACAACACAGGATATGAAGATATCATGGGACAATATGGGCTAACTGGAGAAAAAGAACGAGAATGGTAACACATTTGAAAATTTACGCGCATCCAATAAAATTATTATAGATGGAATAATATTCCCTCACAAACGCATACTCAAAGCTACTTGGGTCTCACTGGATCACACTACATAGAAACAGATCGATCATATTTGCATCACTAAAAAATTCACAAGGTTAATGGAAGATTTACTACTAACAAACTTAACGAATTCAAGATAACTCTCGACAGCAGATTCCAAACCTTACAGGACCTACTGAAGAAAAAAAGAGCTACGATGGAGCATAACTGGAAAGGGATCAAAAAAGTACTGACTTCAACGTGTCAGGAGGTGCTGGGTCGCAAGAAGCATAATCGTTAGAAATGGATTTCTATCAAAATCCCAGACAAGATTCAAGAAAGGAAGAACAAGAAGACAGCAATTGACAACAGTCGAACAAGAGCAGAGAAAGTCAAGGCACAAGCTGAATACATAGAAGCAAACAAGAGAATGAAGAGAAGCATTAAAGCAAACAAGCAGAAACACGTGGAAGAGATAACAACGACAGCGGATAAAGCTGAAAGAGAAGAGAATATGAAACAACTATATGACACGATGAGGAATCTGAAAGGGAAATATAGTAAACCAGACAGACCAGTCAAGGACCAAGAAGGCAGGACAATCACCTAGATTCAAGAATAGGGGAACCGATGGGTAGAATACTTCGAAGAGCTCTTGAATAGACCAGCTCCGTTCAAACCACCGGACATCGAAGCAACACATAGATCTTCCTACAAATGTCACTCCATCAACGATGGGAGAAATCAGCATAACCATCAAACAAATCAACATTGGGAAAACAGCAGGACCTGACAATATATCAGCTGAAACCAGACAACCAACCGCAAGTATACTCCACGTCCTATTCAGGAAGATTTGGGAGGAACAACAGGTGCTACTGACGGACTGAAAAGAAGGGCACCTCATCAACATTTCTATAAATCTTTCTTACTCATTGCTATCACCAAATAATAATTTTTATGGAGTTCTCAATTTTATATTTATTTTCAGAATTGGGATTGGTGGAGATGGCACTAATTTTAATTGCTGAATTCATGAGTTATTCTAAGGCTAACCACTACTGAAAACCTGGAAGCGTTGAACGGCCATTTCGTTTTAGTGTGGGACTCTTCAGCAGTGCGCACCCACGATCCCGCATGCGGGACTAAAATACAGGACTTTCGGTCTCGCCCGCTAATGCTTAACCCTTAAACCACTAAGCCGGCATTCAACATTGTTAATTTCTAACTTCAATCGATCGCTGATCTTGCACAACCCTTCATCCATTGTCTTCGAAGGGTAACTGTCACACTCGGCACGGATTGGACTCCACTGATCTAGCTTAGGTCAACTCATGAATTCGACTGTCAAAATTATGTTTATTTTACACTTTTAACTTTTATAACCTGTGATAACTTTGGGTTTTAGGACTTATCGCTGTGACTGGCAATGAAGATGTCAATGGTGCTTTGATATGGAGGTGCTCTGATGGCGCACAAATGCAAGTTTTACAACCTCCTGAAACCACTGCTGATAATCCTATCTTGGATGTATGTCCAATCTTTTTCTCATCGACTCAAAGTCATTATTTAACATTACTTACTGACCGAATGCTTCATTTTTACATGTGGCGTACCTAAAATTCCTACTGAAATTTTCTCAAGTGTAAATATGTACATACTGCAACCTAGATCATTCTGACTATTATTTTTTTTACCTAAAACAATAAATTTGAAACATAGTTTCACAGATCACTGTTGGCATCTTCAGTTTCGAGACTAAAGAAAAATTTTTGGGTCTTCCTATCATATTCTTCAATAGGTAACCGACATTCAAACTGCCTACTATCGACACTATCGAAAACCTTATTCCGAAATTTGATGAAAAGAACACAAAGCTCTTCTGAATATTTAAATAATTTAGCTGCAGCATTAATAATGGTACCTTGTTAACACGACCTGTTAATCATAACATAACTCATTCGTCGTACTAAGTTCCCGTTTTGAATTCGGTTGCAGATATCGTCTGAAAAAAACGATAGAATAATGACATTCTTATTTCGAAACTGCATAGATTCATTCTATTAGTCTCTGAAAGACGCTTCATAGGCGAATATTGATTAAATAAACGGTTGGCCTACTCCATTAAAAGCGGAAATCCACTATTGCCAATATATTTGTTCTGAGAGGACATAGAGCTACCAACAATGATTAGCGTTCCTCAAAGCCGTTTACAAGCAAAATGCTGATTAACCATAGTTGACCTGAAAGTTGCATCAGTCTAGACTTAGTTAACAACTGATAGCCATCAATATCCGTTATCATCCGAAAGTCACATTTAAGAGTTGCTTAGTACCTAGGCGTAATAATCACGTTAAATATCTAGTTGAATGTGCTCAGTGAAGCATTCTTAACAAGTCACAATTGAGTACACTGTGCTGCTGACCCCTCATAACAGCTAAACAGCTTAGGTCATATACCTCTCGATATATCGACTATCTTCTAAGGTTGTCTTCAAACTTCGTTTTTGTGTTGGCTGGGTCTGGGATCCTAGATTTTAAAGGTCTTACGTACAACAGAGCTGTCAAAATGTAAATATCTGTGATATCCTCGATGATAATCCTGATATGATCTGGTACACCTAACGACAAACTGTGAGTCTCTTCTTTGTCGCGATACTATATTTAGATCTTCTTACATATTGCGATGCTACTTTTCGTTTCTGGACATTCCTCGTATATCTGTAAGGGTTTTGTAGTGTTAGAATTCGGAGTTGAAGATATTAGGAACACCCTAGTTTACTAAAATCGAACCTCGACAAGTTCATTAACCGTATTAAAGCCCTAAGTCCTTTGTAAACTTATCACTTTAAAATTAGATGAAGCTCTCTGCAAGAGCTACTTTCCAGTTGCTTATGTGCAAGATCATTCTTGACATCAGTAAGGTACACTTTTACTGACCAAATGACTAACATACAAACCAAGTAGTTTCGATAAATTGGGAGCAACATGTGTATACATTGCAAACGTTAAGTAGCCAGAATTTACTTGTTAGCTGATAACTAATGATTCCGGAAACATTACCCAACATAAGTACGAAGGCCTTAAATGCATCTTTCATCTGTATGATGATGATTTATTTGCAGATTATTGACCACGTTACCTCAATCCCAGTACAATACATACTATTGATACTACTACTTATTCTACGGCTGTGTGCCAGTACAGGGGAAATGTGCTGAGTTGAAAAGATAATTACAGTGAGAATTAGGGCCTGGAGTGAAATTTCTCGAGAAAATTATACTAGAATTTGCACCAGTGCATTATTATTATTCATAAACACCTTATAGGTACACAAGTGTTGTGACGAAACCATTTCGGGTTTCTTCGGAAATGCAATAATACACAAGTTTCAATAATGTTAGCATATTTGAGAAAGAGAAAAAATAATGATAATGGAGTAATAAACCAGGTTCTGTGTAATTGAGTTAACTTTAAAGAAGGAGAGGGAGAAATTAAGGGAATAGAAATGAAGGAAGCACAAAACACGTCAATAGTTTAATAAGCGTGTTAGTGAACACAGGACAAGAATAAACGACTATGTATGTATCGCCAAATCAGTAACAAAAATAACATTATTGTAGTAAGATATGACGAAAAAATAAGTGTTTGTGCAGTCATAGTTTGGTGTGATACTATGGGAGTCTCAGTCAAGTGCGAAGGATAGCCAAATTTCAATTATATATATATAATCTTAATTACAAACTTCGGAATCTTAAGGTTATCCTTTATTTAGAAGGAAAAGATAGATAAATGAACACCTAGTGAAAGGGTTCAACCGTGATAGTAAGAGTGTAATAAATATCGACCTCTGAAACAAACCATTAGTTTTAGATGAAAAAAATTTTTAGTCCACTCGGGTAACTGCACATAAATTTATGTAATAGGATACAGAGTAAAACTTGGTATTAATATAAACTTCTGCACAGTAATAATTTAGAATAATTCTATGAGAGTTACAATTAATTGCAAATGATAGTCAAATTTCATATGATATATATATATGGTGAAGATAAAATGGATCTGAGAAGTTAATTTATTTAAGTGTAACATAAGATTATTTTTTTGGTCATAGACTTTGGATGTTTAGAAGGAATGAAAAGAGTGTCTGATGTGTCGAGGGACCAAGTATAATAATAATGATCATAAATATGAACACAAGCGAATTTCAAATATAAAGATGAATAGAGAGATAAACGAGGAAAAGTTCAAAGGTTCTACTTTGCTTTTCGTCAATTAGATAGATGATGGACCTTGTTGGTATAAATCATTATTGAACACACTAATATTCAATAGGTGACATAATCCACTTTCGGAAAGAAAATCACCAAGGAGACTTCTGAACCGCTGTGGTGTTTGAATGAATTAAACCAGACAGACCAGTCAAGGACCAAGAAGGCAGGACAATCACCTAGATTCAAGAATAGGGGAACCGATGGGTAGAATACTTCGAAGAGCTCTTGAATAGACCAGCTCCGTTCAAACCACCGGACATCGAAGCAACACATAGATCTTCCTACAAATGTCACTCCATCAACGATGGGAGAAATCAGCATAACCATCAAACAAATCAACATTGGGAAAACAGCAGGACCTGACAATATATCAGCTGAAACCAGACAACCAACCGCAAGTATACTCCACGTCCTATTCAGGAAGATTTGGGAGGAACAACAGGTGCTACTGACAGACTGGAAATTAGGACAACTCACCAAGTCACCAAAGAAGGAAGATGTGATCAACTGTAATAACTACAGATACACCACACTACTGTCGGTACGAGGAAACGTTTTCAATAGTGTGAACCGGACGAAAGGCTTGGTAGACGTCCGACTTCGCGATCAACTGGCTGGATTCCGTACACATTGGTCGATTACAGACCAAATCGTGACGGATAGTCGTTGAACAACCATATGAGTGGATTTAGTCACCATACATCAACTTCCACTGTACGGGGCTGAAACGTGGAAAACTCTTACGACCATCATCAAAAAGGTGGAAGTATTTATAAGCAACTGTCTGAGCAAGAAAGTGAATGTCTATTGACCGGAATTATCAGCAACAACCTACTGTTACAGAAAACAGACCGACTTCCAGATGAAGAGGAAATTAGATTCTGGAGGGGGATAAGACATACATTACGGAAATCACCAAACTGCATCACGAGGCAAACCCTAACTTGGAATGCAGAAGAGGGACGGAAAGAGGAAGACCGAAGAACACACTGCGTCGAGAACTGGAAGCAAACATGAAAAGGATGAATAGCGACTGAAAGGGACCGCTCAGGACAGGGCTGGATGGAGAGTGTTGATGAGTGGCCCGTGCTCCCCCACGAGTAAGCAGAAGACGAGAATCAGTAACACATTTACAAGTCTCTTGCTTCATGGAAAGTTTTGTCGTAGTGAATGTCTGTGAACACATCATCAGAATAAAGAGAAATAGTCCGACTAAACTTCAGTATATAATTCAGGTTTTGTGTAGCTACACTCTGAGTAAACATGTTGATGACATTCTGTCAAAATGATTTGAACTAAATTATGAAGTGGTCCTTGAGCGAAAGGCGATCTAGTAAAACACCGTAAAAAGCATTACTAAAAACGATACATACGTAAATTCTAGTGACCGACCTGTGTCTATTCGCCGATTAATTTGGTTAAAAATGACAGCTTCAGTGTAGACTACGAGTATTTTCTCATAAATCTGTGTTGAAAAAATGCTAGTTAGGTTTTCCCGTGATGAGACAACAGAACTCACCTGTAGTTGTCATCCTTCATTGACGTTTATAACACAAGTGTCGTATAAATGAGCTTTTGCTTTGCAGCGTCTAAAAGAGACAAGTAATGTCTTCCATATAGGTGTTTAGGCTTCGCAGCCCATGCATAAGTCGAATAGGTTCAACCGGAAGAACGGAAGTTCCGCTCTATCATGCTTGGCGAGCGATACAGAAATACCATCAGATTCACAATCACAGAACATTTCCACAAGTCAAAGCCTGCTTGATGTCAGTTTGATATCACTTAATACTAAATGTAAAATTGTTATTCCTGGAAACGTTTTTTTAGTGGCTTTGACTTCCTTAGTGTAGCACCAAGAGAAGCAGTGGTCAATGTGTTCGAGTGCTTTAACGAAGCCATCTATAATTGCACCACGATATGTGAGGAATGTGGTTGTCGTAAAAGATTTGAATTTTGAGTGAATCGCTGATAGATCTTGGTTGCTGCTACTCACAGCTTTATTCATCAAAGTCGGAAGATGTTTGTTTTACAATGAATCTGTTAGGTAGTCGGAAAAATAGACCAATAATTATCATGTTAAGTCTAATGGAGTCCTTAGACCCTAAATGTACATTTCTTATTGGTCGATGTTTACTTCACTTGTTAAATATTTTGTAAATGTTGTTCTCTATTTTATGGTACGATGTGGTATCCTTGATTGGTATATAAACAAAGTATGTTTGAAATATAATGATTCATAACTCAGAGGCAGTGATTTGTGCTCTTGACTCAATTGGCTGGGACAGACAGCGAAGCAGGGCCAATCAGGGCACTAGGTCGTCCACTACGTGTTTTCCGTGTCACAGTCACAGAAGCGATCGATAAATACGCTGCGTATCAAACCCTGCAGTCACACCCGTTACAACAGAATCCTTTTTGTCGGATACGTTGGGTGCACCCTGAAAAAAAATGTTATTATGGCAGTGTTACCTTAATTTTCTCAACAGAAAAAGACTAGGGAAACTGAGATGGACATAATATTCTGTATTTTATTAATATCAGTGACTATGGTAACTGTGGCCTACTTCGTCAATAATACTGCTGTAATAATAGACCTAATCCTGAAATTGTAGATTTGTTAAGATTCAACTGCCTAATCTATAAGATCTTATGTGGAAGTCACATCATTGTCTACACTGACTCATAGTATCGTTAAAATCACCATTATATGATGGCAAACACCATTAGGTTGGAGACAGTGCAATAAATTTAAAATGAATAAGAGAGATACGTTACACAAGAATGATCACACCAGCAAGGCTGAGCCATGCCATCCGATTAATTGAATTTTGAATTAACGTTCCAGCGTTCACCATTATTGACCTTCTCTTAGTGTTACATGTTGAAGGTCTATTTTCCCAGTCATCTCATGTTAATCTTCGGGGATTGTGGTTAGAATCAATACCACTAAACTACTCTCTCACCAGAATCAACGTGACGTTGGTTAAGTACCTTATCGAGTGAGATTGTTGCTCTCTATAGGTTACAAGATGAACAATTAAGAATGATAATAATAATAATTTATTCTCAAATCACAGTTTGTTACATGAGGCATGCCAGTTTACAGGCAAGATCAACTTTTTACAAATGATACAATATCTACTGTAGTAAATTACTCAGCTGGGTTGATAATTTAAAAGATGTGAATGTAAATGGTTTTAGTCAGTACCACAGTTGGTGCGCTTCATGAAAGTTGCGTTGCGAATGTGCAACTGATGATCAAGGATAGATCCATTGAAGGTGGGAGCTTCTAGAAACCGCAACCTTATGTCCTTTTGGAATATCTAAGGCTTTAAGGATGATGCAGGATGAAGTCACCCGTTCAATATCTCAAGGGGGCTGAAAGAGGGAGCAAGCAAAAGTGTAGTGACTCACCATTTATCACGAGAACACGACTGGTTTAATAGAAACAATTCTTATTATAACCAACTGTACCAGTGTTTGTTTTAATGTGCTTTTGTTTAACTGCGCAAATGACATCTATTTTGTGCTTCCATTCTTTTACTTACACTTTTGATTGTGACTTCGCGCGAATTCGGTTACGTTCTGTAACCAAGCTTGTATCCTGGCACGATCTCGATATCCTTTCGATACCACGAGATCGCCAGCAAATATATATCTCGATTTGGTCCATTAATTGCCTTCTGATATTTGGCTTCTCGGAGATTTTATGGGTTTCTTTGGTTACGTTCAACCTACGCCTTCTGATCTACTTGGCACGTGTTTCTCTGTAGCGGTGTTCATAGTCAACCGCGACTCGACACCACGCTACAAAAGAAAGGACTACATGCAGAGTAGCCAATATTCATGAAGGATTGTTTAAGGTTTGATTACTCAATCTGATTTCCTTTTATTAAGGTATTTGTTAAGCAAGAGCATTTTAAGAGATTAAAGAAAATAAGTGTAAACAAGGTATGAGTGGACATACAACTGACAAATGGAGGCGATCCAGAAAGGAGCTGCGAGTATGGGATTATGTGTGGTTATAAAATATAGTGCTAAAAACAATACTGTGATATACTCTGGGTAATGAAAAGCCGAAAGATAAATCAAAAAGAAGGCGGCAGCAACTGGTCGGGAAATGTTCGGTTTAATGTTT